TGGCTTTCTCCACTTTCCAATCTCCGCTCAAGTGTCATAGTAAATGAACCTTCCTTGGTCAGCCTATTTACCAGGACCTTCAATATTTGGTATACTTTATTTATTTGTTCCCCCTGAGAAAATGAGAAAAAATATTTTGTCTACTGCTGTATCCCCAGCACCCATACCATGTCTATAACACAGTTCTTACATGTTGAGTACGTAAGTAAAAAATACATAAATGTTTCTTTGGATGAGTATAAAACTAAAACAGATGACATCTGTTAACTATCAGTTAGAGACTGATAATTTAGAGCGCTAGATAAACTTATTCCAACCCAACAGTTTAGTTCTCTATGAAATGCCAGTGTGTGGCATATTCCATCATCCCACGCAGGAGAAAGGTGTGCAGGAATGAATGGGATGGAGAGCGGAAGACAGTTGTGCTATATTCCCATTGGTTATCGAAGAATGAAAGCGAACTTTAAACACACAGCCCAAGACACAAGCCTATAACCCTCCATACCAGGTAATCCAGACTTTCTAAAACCTGGGTAAAATGTTTTGACATATGAACATGGAAAATGTTCTCTGATGTTTGTTGTTTATATCTAGATGTTTGTTGTTTACATCTGCCTCCTCAGCCTCCCAGAGTGCTAGGATTACAGCCCTGCCTGGCTTTGTTTTTTTCTTTCTTTTTTTTTTGTTTTTTTGTTTTTTTTCCGGTACCAGGAACAGAACTCACGACCTTGCGCTTGCCAGGCAGGTGCTTTGCCGCTGAGCTAAATCCCCAGCCCCTCTTTTTTTTTTTTTTTTTTTTTTGAGACAGGGTCTCTCTATGTAGTTCAGGTTGGCCTCAAACTCGCAGGATCCTCCTGCCTCTGCCTCCCAAGTACTAAGATTACAGACATGCAGCACCATGCCTGACCAGATTCTTTTTTTAATTGAGCTACTTGTCTATCGTAACACCTCACATGAGAATAGTGGGGACTTTGGAGAGGTGACTGGGTCATTGTGGTGTTAGACCTGAGCTGCCGTTAGCACGAGGGGTCTGGTCAGAGGTGGGTCACCGTGGGCATGACCTGGAAGGTCAGAGCTCCCTTCCCAGCTTCAGCAGCACATAACAAAATTGGAAAGGTTTGGAGATTCTGGCTCGAGGAGCCCCAGAGTCCTGTAAGCGTAGCTTCATTGAAGATTTGGTAGGAGCTCAAGAGACCAGAATGCTGATAAAAAGGCGAACAGAAAATGCCAAGCTCAGGTTTCAGTTGAGAATAAGGACTCGATTGGCAGCTGGACTCCAGGCCATGTGTTATGTTCTGGCAGAAAATTGGTATACATTTTGCTCATGTATTGAAACTGCAAAAGACATAGGGTGGTGGATTAATTAACCTAGCAGAGAAAATTTCAAGGCAGCCCAACATTTAGGGTGTGACAGTACTGTTGGGAACTTTTAGCCAGTTCTACATTGAGAATCAAAAGGAAACCGCATAGGTGACTTTATTTTTAGGTGACTGATTTTAAATGTTTGAGTTTCACCAGAAAGGAAGTATCTATAAAGCTGGCACCCACAAAGATGGAGCAGAAGAGAGCTTGGTTGCTGAAAAGATTAGCACTAAAAAGAAGCCAAGTGAGGGCGAGAAGTATCAGTGTGAAGGAGATGGCAGTCTGAGGTTTTCTCCAGAGCTAATCTAAGTGTCCTCTGACTGAAGTCATGCTGGGGGGATAGCAGTTACGGACTCTCTTCAGAGGGTTGATCCAGCACATTCATCATTCGTTCCATCTATATGACCATTTGGAGTTTGACAGCCTTTAGGCAAGAAGAAAAAAAGACGTTTTATTCGTGTGTCTGTCTAGTTTTGGCTGTAAGATGATCAAGGTCTCTGAGGTTTTGAAAGACTATTTTAACTAAGGATTTTAAAGCCTCTTGCTGACTTCTATAGCTGTTACTATGGCTTTGCAGCCTTATTGAAACATAGTTATTGAAACATAGTGATAAGCTACAGGTGTAGCTGGAGCCTGCTAGCAGGGATCAGTGTGGTGATTGGAGCCCCTTTTTGTATGCAGACTATATTACCACTATTTCTCATACATCTTTTTGGTTTTATTTCCCTGCTAGGTGTGTTTAAGACAAAGTTAAAAAGAGACTTGTGCTCCCAGTCATCTTTTTTAGCTTTGATCTCTAAGGGCCAGTTGTTGGGAGATCAAGCAGCTTTGAATTTTTGTTGAAGCTTTAAATTTTTGTTGAAGCCCAATTAGTCTGTTACTTGTGCTTTTGGTTCGTATGTAAATCATTGTGAAATCCCCTATCATGAAGACTTTCCCTTATGTTCTCTCTTTAAAGTTTTAACTTCTGCACATGGTGGTAAGGGCCCCACCTCACTCTTTTGGATGTGGATATTCATTTCCAACATGTCTCACTGAAAGGACTGAATCTTCTTCAGTGAATGGTCCTGGCATCCTTGTTGAAAATCACACGACCATATATATAGGTAACTACCCCCCCACCCCCCGAGTCTCCCTGTGCAGTTCAGGCTAGCCTTGAGCTCACGATTCTCCTGTCTGAGCCTCATGAGTGCTGGGATTACAGGAGTGCGCCACCCTGCCCGGCATTATAGGGTAATATTTTATCTTTTATGAGATAGGGTCTCACAATGCATTCAGGCTGGTCTTGAACTCTGTATCCCAAGCTCTGCTTGTCAATTAACATACCCATCTTGACACATGTAACTCTTAGCTATACTGGCTTCCTAAAGACATCATCATCTGACCACTAACAGCACCTACCTTCACCTCATTTAAACTTAAAATATTAAGACACGGCCATTAATCGTCCTCAAAATACTGCCTGCAATCCCCTGCTCGGAACACTTACTCCATCCATCTGGGCACTTTCTGAGCTTGGGTTAGTGTCTTTAGCTGCACTGGATGTCCTCAATGTCCTGAACTGATGTAAAAAAATTTACCTCCCATGTCACTCAAACTTCAGTGCCAAATCCACTAAGGTCAAACAGCGTGTTTCTCTGAGCCTGCCTTCCTGTTAGAACGCAGGCAGTCACAACTTTCACTAAATTTTATCACACTGAGTAGAGGAACTCATTAAAAAAGACTATTTCAGCCACATAAGCACTTTATATGAGTGCATAATATTGGTCAGAGAAGAAACACGGTGGAAATACTGGCAGACGTAACTAAACACAAAATGTAGTACTGCTGGAGGAAGGCTTATTCTGCTTGTGGCAATTACTGAAGCTACTTCAACCAACTCTTTCATTTCTATAGTAAATGGAAACAAATGCATACTTTTGTATTCTGGGTGAAAAAGGTTCAGGTCATTCCCTGTTTAACCTTAACTTGGCATCTTCCTTATTGCAGAAATTTTACAATTTGCTCTAAAATGCCCCTAGTAGGGCTGGGGGTATAGCTCAGTGGCTTAAGTGCTTGCCTCACAAGCCTCAAGTCTTAAGTTCGATTCCTGGTACAAAAAAAAAAAAAAAAAAAAAGCCTGGAGTAGACACACTACCTAAGACTGGGAATTACACTGGAGGTTTAAAAACACTGTCCGATAGAAACCTTACAAGCTTGTGAGCTCTTACTTACCGTGCTAAAAACACTGGCCTTACAAAGGCTGGCCTGAGCTCAACCAGAACAAGTAAATCTGAGCACAGGTTAGAGAAGAAAGGTGCAGATGTAAAAATTAAGTGAAACAAAGTTCATTTCTGAGATGAGTCTTGAGATGTTGCCTAAGCAGCACCTGAAATTCACATCCTCCTGTTTCAGTCTCCCAGGTATTACTCGTGTGTGCCGAGCCTGACTGAGTCTTAACCATGAACTCTCCAACTGGCAGAAGCAAGACCAAAGGTGAAAGCCGATGAAAACTCATCTCAAAAACATACAGGCTAAACAGGATCTGGGTTATTAAAACAGGTTAGCCTTAACACCTTCATGGAATCCATTGATCTCGATCAGAAGTAGTGATTCCCTCAGAGTGCTCCAGATCCTAGACTCATCAGAAGGCTGGGTCATCTTTGTCTTACCTCATCACTTACTCTCTAATACAATAAAGGATGGATCCTCTTCTAGGGGAGTTCAGTAAGGCCTACACCAGATGCCAACTGTTCTCATAGCAAATACCGACCTAGGTGCTGGAACAGTTTTTATTTCCCTAATAAAACTATAAAGCAGTGTGTGTGTGTATACACATGAATATATATACATAAAAATAATATATAAAATAACCATAAAACTGAAGCTTTTTTCCTATCTTTATTACTTTACAACACAAGCCCCATCTGGACCCAATCTAAAACTCACATTAAAATATTTGAGTGGCTACCTCTTCTTCTAAAAACTGGTTAAGAATGGATCTAGAAAAATCCAGGCATATGGTAATTTAAGTTGCAAACTGCAGGATCGGAATTCTATGGAAAGTAAAGTTATCAACAATCCCAGGCAGACATTTTTAAGAACATGCCACTCAATTTTACAAATGAAGGCCTAAAAATATTGCCTAACCAATTTAGAGGCAGAGTGACATCCTAACTAAAAGCAGGTTGTAGGGGCTGGAGGTGTAGCTCAGTGACAGGAGTGTGTGCAAGGAAGGCCCTGAGTTCAAAACCTATCACCCATCCCCAAACCAGACAGGGTTCCAAACTACAATTATTTGCCTAACATTTCACTTTTTTTTTTGGCACTGGCACCACTGAGCTATATCCCCGGCTTGACTAACATCACTAAAGCTGGTCCTGAAAATAAATGTGGAAGACCTGATCCTAACACGCACTTCAGCTATCCTCAGATATGTGTGGTAGCTAGAGTTAACATGACTCTGTCCCAAGGGGAGATGGTTATCCCATTTATACACTTTTCCAACCTCTATGAACTTTCAATGAACATAAAGTTTATCTTTCTTGCATGCAATTCAACCAAGAAATACACTCTGTTAGGGACCAGGCTATAGAAAGACTCATTGTAAGTAATAAGGTAGAAGAAGTACTTTTTTGTGAACTGAGGTGCACCAGCAATTTTTCTCTTCGTTTTCATTTATTGAACACAGTTCTCAAAACATTTGAGTGAAATTGGGCCTCCTTTGATTAGCAAAGGACCTGAAAATAATATTTAAAAAATGAACAGGCAGTCTTCAGGTCATCCATGACACAGGTATAGTGTTCCCTTCTCTTATCCTGTACTTTGAAGCACCCAGTTTTTCAAATGGTCTAAAAGCTAGAAGATCAAGAGTACATTTGTGGTGGAATGTATTGTCATTTGCCGAGAACTAGCTGAAATACCATTATTCCCTTTTAACAGCTTTAAGAAATAGCCTTAAGGCATACACAATGTGTAACTTTTCTTATTCCCTGCTAAACATAATACAGATTACAGAAAGGCTGACAAATCCACATTTATATAAGCATTAAGCATTTGCTGTATTGAAAAACTTAGTTCTAATACTAGCAGTACAGAGTTACAGAGCATATTTTTTTAACACTTAGTTGTAGGTATATTAAATATGGTATGTTTCGTGGACTGGAGGAAAGTGGGTATTTTTGCCTTTGAACTTACTGATAACTTAAAATCTGAATAGTTCTGCTAAGTATCAATGTTAGAAAGAAAAATAAAAATCAAACTGTTTATTGTTGCTTTTTGCCATTTGGTAGCTTTTTACACACAGGCTTCAATCTTCAGATTACCCTGGATTCAGTAGAAAAACCTTTTAAATGAAGTTTTTTGTACAATAGAAACTTCTCAGCAGTCAAAATTTAAGACTGTAAAAAAATACATGCAAAACATACTTTTCTGAAAACACTTAACTTTGAACAAAGCACCGAACTACACAAATGCAGAATGAAAACAGCATTTCAACTCCACCAAAAGTAGTCATCATAAAAGGTGTAAAAGTCACCTAACTTCACTAGGCACTGTTCACTTTTTAAACAGACAATAAAAATATTGTCCACAAACAATATCCCAGCTCTATGGCAGGTTTCAGAAAGTCTTTATCTTCATGCTTTAATAGCGACCTGGCAAGAAGAAGAAAAACATATTTTAATGCTTACAAATCAACAACAGAAACTGTGGCTACACTACCATTAGGAGATTACGAGGAGCTGAAGTCCTTCCAGTGAGAAGACACTTTTACACAACTGTTAACACTAGGAACAAGGTAATCAGTGCTAAGTAACAGATATTGCTGAAGAGTTTAACTCAATCTTGGGTAACATTTTAATAGCAGTTTAATCATTTTAAAGTTGTTCAAAATTTGCAAGACACCTAAAAAAGGTAGAAGGGAGACAGAATATCCTGTACGTATAACATCTATAGAGTCGGTGTGAGCATAAAAATTAGATTAAAATAGAACTATCTGAATTAACCTATTCTTTACAAAGGGAAGTTACCGAGAAGATACTAGTATCACAATATATACACAAAATCCTACCAAGATAAAAAAAACTTACGAGGTGAGTAGGACCGAGATCTGGAGCGTGATCTGTATCCTCCACGACTGTAATAAGGAGAAGGTGACCGCCTTCTGTGAAAAAAGAAGAAGAAGAAAAAAGAATTCTCTATCATGTGATCATTATGTGTATCTAAAAGTTAAGATAGCCTCTAGAGCACAAACTAAGTGATACAAAGACTGTAAACTAACCCTTTATACGTTTCCCGAACTAGTAGGGCCTAATAAACCTTTTAAATTTTTCCATTAGGCATGAGGGTTGGAAGAGTTGAGAACGAATCACTTTATAAAGCCGAAGTACCCACTATCCTTGAGCTTAACTTTCTCTCACCAATCTTAATGAAATTTGTAATTGTACCGCAATCTATTAACTTCAGTCAACAGTATTTTTGAGTTTCAAGAAAACCAATTTTGTGAAGCAATTCTACCAAAATATTAGTAGGGCAACATCTTTGTGAAACTTTCTACTTTTATTTGTCCAGATTTAAAATCTTTTGGCATACCTATAAATCTGATCCCTGTCTTGAGCAGCTCTCCAGCCACCTCCTCCTCCACCACCTCCTCTGCAAACACAGAAAAACAAAATTTAGCTTTGTTTAAACTCCCACAAAGCACAGGGAAGACCCAACTTCTTATAGGTACAGTGATAGAAGTCATTTTCTTCAACCCATTAGAAAATGACATAGAGCTCTCCCTGCTGGCTGAACTGACCAGCAACAGCATACAGAACACACTGCTAAATAAATGCTACAGTGAATTAAGGGGAAAGACTTTTAACCTTATTGGCCTCCATAATCACTATTTTATACAATAATTTGGAGATAAGTGACACATGGGACAATCACATTTCTTACATCTTTAACTTCTCTACCAAATCCCACTCAATAGCCATGTTTTTTAAAACAGTAAACTGTTACCACTGTTATACTAACTGTCTTGAAGTCAGCCTGGTTTACACTCAATGCTGAAAAAGAAAATGTTATATTCTTATCAATGTATCAGGTTATAAATATTCCTGTTTATATTTCAGAACAATTACACAGAAATCTACACCAAGTTTAAGATATAACCTTAAAATATGGTTTCAACTTGAGTTTCTGTTTCCTACTATGAAAAACTAAGTGTAGGGGCTAGGAACTTTGCTCAATGATAGTGCTTGCTTAGTGTGTGCAAGGCCATAGGTTTCATCCCTAGCACCCCCACAAGGTATAAATTTACTGAAGGGTTCCTCAGACATATTAAGCAGGTATTCTACTATGAGGTATATCCCTCGCACAAACTTTTTTTAAAGGCCGAAGGTTGAGTACAGTGCTAGTTTAAATTACAGTGTAACAGAGTTGATCCTTCCACATGGTAACACACCTGTATGATCTGCTGTAGTAGTCCCGATCATCATAGCCGCGATCATATCCTCTGTCATAGTAATCCCGACGGCGTGAACTGCCACTACAAATAATAACATTATCTTCTTTTAAAATTCAAGCGATCTTTCCTAGCTTCCTGGATATGACTTTTGCTATTAAAACCTGGTTCAGATACAGTATGTTGCAAGCTTCACTTGCATCTTAGGAGTGGCAGATGGTAACTGGAAATGACTACTCTTTCTATCGTAGTTCTCACTACTAGTGAACGTTGTCTTCTCCCTTATTACAATACCGGCAAACATATTGAATATTTTGACTAAGAAGGTACACAGATCCTATCCTGGCTTTGTATTAAAAGTCAATCAACCCTGTAACCTCAGTTACATGGGAGGCTGAGGCTGCAGGATGACTAAGTTCAGAGCCAGCCTGGGCAATCCAGTAAGATCTTGCCTCAAAATTATAATAAAAAGTAAAGCAGTTCACTAATCTTACCTATTTCCAAAAGGAAAGAAAAATAAAAAACCTCCACAGGAGGATACAGTTTCAGTTAAGGGCTAAGGTTCCCCTTTCACTAATAGTACATGGCAATCACTGCATGTATTGTAACTCAAGTAGTCCCTAACTTCTACACCAGAAGAATGTTCTTAAGAAGCCCAACAAGTCTTATACAATGAACCAAAAAACCAAAAACCAAAAACCAAAAAAAAAAAAAAAAAAACGGAGCTGGGGGTTTAGCTCAGCGGCAAAAGCGCCTGCCTGGCACGCGCAAGGTCGTAAGTTCGGTTCCCAGTACCGGAGAAAAACCAAAAAACCAAAAAAAAAAAAAAGTCTTACACAATGCAAGGTTTCCTCTCGTTTCTGGGTATCCTGGGCTCTGAGCACAGTACTACTGTACAGTAAGCACACAGCAGCACAACTGTGACAATGTCTCACAGGCAAGTGAGCTACTTGTGCAATTTATTCACAGCTCAAAGGAAGTTAAGTTGGGGGACTTTATTCTGTCTGAGTGTTCTTTAATAATATATACACGCTTGGTGACAGTTGCAATAAAGGAGTTTTCCTACTCCAGTACAGCAACTGAAACGTGTTTTCTACTCAGTTGTAACAGACCATTTTAACTGCATATTTTCTGTTGAATAGGTTTACCAAGTTTAATAGGATAAAAAGGGCAAGAGTATTTCTTGAAATACACACACAAATTAAACTGTACATCACATTTTCAATACTGAAAATAAACTTACTAGGTAGGTCTCCCCATGTAAATTCCTGGTGTTGGGGTATGTGGTCTTTTTGTGATAGAGAAATCAACTCTTATCCTACGCCCATCAAGTTCCATTCCATTGGCACGTTCTTTAGCCTTCAAAAGATAAATAATAAATTGTCACATAGAGCTCATTCTTGACAAACTATGTCACTAATTATTCTATACAGGCTAACTGGACATTCTGGCTGCATGATTTTAATGTCAGTCAAAGTATAAGGTCTACCTATAAATTAGAAATGAACTGGTTCTCTTAAGTATTTGTGAAAGCTAGTCATAAAAAGTTTATCCAAAAATGCCACTGACCCATGAAATACTTGAACCTGACAATATTTTTGGGTCAAAAGCAATTCCTAGCAAATTCATCTGTGGACCAAATCTGGTCAGACTATTTTTCAATGACCTGTAAATTAAGAATGTATGTAACTGTTAACACTAGGTAAGAATTCAATAAATAGCACCGACGGAGCCCAGCTCTTTTCCTCTCCTTATGGTTACTTCGTGGGAATGGCAGAAGTAAACAGGCTGTTGAGCACTGTTCTGGAAGCCAAAACTTGGGATGAAAACACCAGGAAGCTTTAATATGTAGTTCTTTTATCCAGAATATACACTGACTCAAAAAGCATGTGTTAAAAAAATACACATACCATTCCAAAACCTTAGGTTTATTTATACTGTAGCTGAAGGAACTGTGTAGCTGAAGGAACTGTGCGGAGGGATCTTTTTAACCTGCACAGAATTCATGTTTCTAATTCCAATGTTATTTTGTAATCTTTAAAAATGCTTGTTAGTCCTTGTCTCAGTTTCTGGCACTGCAGATTCAGATAAATTTGCTCTTTTTCAGAGAGCTCTGTCTTACAGCAAATGTGAATTAGGGAATCTAGAAACCTCTACTGTCAGTCATTCTGAACAAATCCTACTTCTAACCAGAAGTGTATCTGAAAAGGTCGCTTTCAAATCTCCCAAAATTCTAAGTTATCAATTATAATTAGTTATATCTAAACATGTTATTCCTTTACCACCCCCTTATTACTTCCCTTGAGGATGATACCAGCCACCATTTCCATTTAAAGCCTGAAATATAAATGCTGGGAATGGAAATTTCTTAAATAGAACATAGATTCACAGAATAAAATTTCACTCCTGGTGCCTCAAACTAATTGAAATCCTAAGAGTTAATTCAGTCATTGGCTAATGTATACTTTCCAAGAACCAGTTCAGTTTTTGAGTCAACATCATTTTTGGTTATTTTCCACTGCAGAAAATAATTCCATGTAAACACTGATTAGGTATCCTACATCAAATTATTGTTTTATTCATGCCCAAACAGTAAATATGCTGGTTCAGAAAAAGGAAGTTGTATGTTTTGATTATCGAAAAAAAATGCCAAGTCATACTTTTCAGTTATTCTGCATGGATTAAAATCTTTCCACAAAACACTGGGGAAAAAGTCCCCCAAAACAAAAAACCAACACTAGCTCAAAGTAATGAATTTAGTATCTGTGCCCAGAAACGTCTATTTAACTCAAATAATTACATATTCCACATATACCATAGAAACTATAATTTCCTATCTAAACACTGGGTCATTATCACTTGGACTTAAGCCTGGTGCTTTTAAAACTGCACAAATAAACTTTTACTTACTTCCTTGGCATCATCTACATTTTCAAAATACACAAAGGCAAATCCTCTTGAACGCCTAGACTGCTGGTCATATACAATAGACACATCAGCAATTGGGCCATACTTAGAGAACACTTCTCTTAAATCTCTTTCTGTGGTGTACAAGCTCAACCCAAACACTCCAAGACAACAGTTTGGGTCAGGATTTGCCTAGAAATAGAAAATATATCAAACTTTTACTCACAATAAAAATACATAATGATTATAAACCATAAAATCACAAAACATTAAGTACTGCAAACGCTAAGAGTGAATAAAAGAGGATCGCAAATGGGCAGTATTCAACCTTAGAACTAATTAAGTAGTGGGAAACTGAAGCTCACTCATACTGGTGGAAAAGCAAACTTTGCATCCTATTTAATCAACTTTTTTTTTTTTTTTTTCCGGTACCGGGAATCAAACTCAGGACCTTGCGCTTGCCAGGCAGGTGCTGTACCGCTGAGCTAAATCCCCAGCCCCTATTTAATCAATCTTAAAATCCACACATTCACTATAAGCATGAATAAAGATAATCAGAACAGGATAGTTATATCAGCTAGAAAAACTATTTACTATTAAAAGAGACATGTTCCAAGACCCCCAACTGATGCCAGAAATCACAGACAGTACACAGCTCCACAATACAGAAGTTCTACTTCTGTACTGTGGGAGATTGGTTCTAGGACCCTTTTGTAGATACTAAAACCTGTGGCTGCTTAAGTCTTTTATATACAATTTATATACCTCTGTGTACTTCACTACAGGACAATGGCAATGTGTGTAGCATGTGCATGGCCACAAGGTTCAATTCTTGGCACTATGAAGTTAACAATAAAAGGACACATTCACTACATTACTTATAATGCCTACTCCAATGTAAATGTTACACCAATAATGAAAAACATAGTATTTAAAATACACTGAATGGGCCACGGATATAGCTCAGTGGTGAAAGCACCTGCCTAGCAAGCGCGAGGTCTTGAGTTCAATTCCTGGTACCAAAACAAAACAATACAAAACAAAAAAACCCTGAATGATGGGAGGGATTTCTTTAGCTGGGGATGGAAGAAAAATGCCACTATAGGATGACACAAGGAAATAAGTTCTGTATCTGGGTTCTGTACCCAAGGTTTCAACTAACCTCAGATGGAAAATATTTGCAAGGAAGAAATCCCATCTGCACTGAACAGAGAGACTTCCTGCCACATTTCCTGAACAATACCCACAATAATTTATGTAGCATTTTCACTGCATTAGGTATTTTAAATAATCATACTGATGATAAAATTTAACTCACAAATTAAGTGCAGTAAAACTAACAACAGAAATCACGTGAATGTGGTTCATAGCTACTAAGTGACCAATGGATAAAGGTAGTAAACATGGTATGGACTAGCTAGACAAAAGGGATGATTCATGCCTTGCCCAGAATGGCCCATGATTCCATCAGCTACTAGGGACTGAATGAAATTAAGTAAAATTAATAAATTTGTATTCGGGAACTTTCTACTTAATGATTTTGGACCCAAAGTCCCTGAAATTACTATTAAAACAGGGCCACTGTAGACAGCCAAGTGTTCATACATGCACATAAATAACCCAATAGGGATGTATACCAAACCTTTTAACAAGTATTAAGTAGAGCTTGCACTGACATAATTAAGAGGAAAAAAAACAAAAACCAAAAAACCCCTATCACTAACATTCTAGTTTCCATAACAGTTTACTAGGGAAAATTACACTGCACTTTTAAATTCTCCCCACAAAACCTCCTGGATTCTATAATGAAACCCCAATATAAACATATTAAGTAGTACACCATCTTATCGGGAACTCTCATAAAATAAGAAGTCTTAATATCTGAAATACATTAACCTAAAAGTAAGTGGGAAATTTAGAAGAGTATTCTATAAAGTTTATGAAAAACCCAGAAGGTATGGAGCTAAACATACTAATGTACTATGATTTTCACAACAGCCCAGCCTGGCTAATTTGGCAAGACTGTCTCAAAACAATTTTAAAAAGGGCAGGAATACAGGTTACTGCAAAGGATTGAGGTTCAACTGCCCAAAGCAAAGGAACAGAGGGCTTAAAGTAAGTTATTTAGGGTCGGCCTGAAAATAACGCATTAACTTAGGCATTTTCCTGCTTCATAGTTTTTCCCTCCGTCTTACCCGATTTCCAACATGACGCCTTCGAGTAGACATGGGAGAATGGCTGTGGCTGTGGCGTCTGCGATAATCTCGACTGTAAGACCTGCTACGGGAACGTCTATGAGAACGAGATCGAGATCGTGACCTTGTATAATGCCTTCGAGAACTCCTTCTGGATCTAGACCTGTAAGGCAAAAGCTTCAAGGTTAAGACCAACTGAAATAGACATGGATTCCAATTCTTATTACTCTACTCTCACATTTAATTCCAAAAGAGCAACACAAAGCAGGTGTATGTCAACATGGTTAGCAATTAAATGGGGGTCATTATCTTTCTTCCTATAATCATTTCAATTTTGTTAAGACCACAAGCTCCCCCAAAATTTCTTCAAATTAACATGAAAATCTTTCAAAAACCGAATCATGCAACATAATTATGCTATTAGCTCTGTTCGTGCCCATCTTTCCCTTTCAGAATATCACCCTCCATTTGTTTCTCCCATTATGCCCACCATTCACTTAACATAATTAAAAAAGAAAGTACACTGTGGTATAACAGAAAGCATAACGTAACAGATACCCCTACTTACTAAGAATTGTAGTTACTGAAAATAATGCTCTATAGTATATAGATTTCACACTGATAAGCAATTTACTTATTTTCAGTGAATCCTCACTATTCTAGAGAAACAGGACTATTACTAACTTGCCTTTTATTAAGAAGCAGCTAAAGGCTTCACAAAACTTATTTACCCAAGATAGAAAAATAAAGGTAAGATTTGAACTCTGACTCCAAAAGCCAAGCCTCTTAGTAACATACATCATCTCTCCCACAACCTCAATTCAAATTCATTTCTAGTACCAATAATAAACCATCAAATGATCTAATTCTACCTTCCTAGTTTTCAGAGCACTAGCCAATTTCAGAGCTAAGAGCAAGCAACGAAGAAAATCTCAAGGCAGTCGTCTTTCTTACCTAGATTCAGATCTGGACCTGGACTTTGATCTGGAACGCCTGGAATCTTCCTTGGAGCGAGACCTTGCAGGGGTATGTCTTGCAGATTTCCCCGATCCGTGAGCACTTCCACTTCTGGAAGCAGAACGGGATTCCTACGCGTAGATGTCAAAAGTTTAATTTGTATACTTTCTGGGCAACTTAAATAACAAATAAGCTGCTGTGAGATAAATGGTGAAGGGAGAGCAATCTTCTTGCAAAGATAAGAAAATACAGGTAAGGGTAGGAACTGAGTATACCTGGAGTAGTAGTTTCACTGCTCCAAATGGCATAAAAGTCACTTAGCTTGTTCTTCCTTCCACCTTTCTGGAGCAGGGATAAGAATTACCTGATCCCACTCCCTTAAGAAAGGGTTGCCAAGTCAAGTGCTTAAGGGAACTGTCCAAGGACTGTACTTCAGGAATAAAGACTAGGGTGAGAAACAACCTTATTAACTATGAAACCTTACTTTGTAACTTTCAGCCAAGCTGCAACTGATAAAACAAAACCCTACAAAACCTGTAAAACTTTAAAAAAAATCTTTTTGGTATTTGTAAGACTTTAAGTTTTCAAACTATTTATTGAGCAAAAAGAGACAAGCACAATGATCTCACTTTTAAGTCCTGAAAAGTAGAAACTCTCAAGAGTCAGCTAGACACTATATATCCTACAAAACCCTTGTCATGTAATGAAGAGAGCGAACTTTTAAGAAACTCTTATCAGATGGAGCTATAACAAAAAGACAGAAAACTGTATAGAGGTTAAGAGTGGAGAGGGTGCCAAAGGGCCACAGCTTCCTCAACTACATGGAGATGGACCCAGAGTGACCTTTAAGGAATAGAGAACAAGTAAACCAGAAATATTACACAAAGGACATATTAAAGCAGGAGCACCTAATCTAGGGCCCAGGAAGGGGAGAGTTCAGAAACTATGTGTAGGGGCTGGGCGTGGTGATGCACGCCTGTAATTCCAGCACTTGGGAGGCTTACACAGGAGGATCACTGGGAGTTTGAGACCAACCTAGGCTACAAAGTGAGCTCAAGGCCAGCCTGAACTGCATAGTGAGACCCTGCCTCAAAAAGACCAAAAAAAAAAAAACAACAACAACAACAACAAACCATGCGTAAAGACCAAAGACTAGATAAATACTGTAGACTCATAGCTTTCCCAATCAAAACTGCAACTGGCAGGCAGAAAAGTGGCACCCCCCCAAAAAAAAAACCTTGAAAGAGACTACCAGCAAAGGAGTGGCCAAATGGTATAAGGCAAAGGCACGTAGTCAACTAGCAGAAAAGGATCACAAATACAGTATATTAATAGAATCAAGAAAAAGCTCTACAAAGGTACCAAAAAGTGGATGGAAAGTGGATAGAGAAGGACAGTTAGCACTCACTCGGGTCTGACTGCTAAGGAAGTTTTCAACAAGACTAAAAAGTAGGCAGTATCACCATACTGTCACTGTATGAGCAATGGAAGCTGAAATTTTTCATATAAAAGTTATCACTAGAGGGCTCCTCTAATAGTTCACAATATTCTGGCCATTCTTGAAAGAATGAAAGGTACGCAGTTATTATAAATTATGGCCTAGAACATCTTAAGAGTCTAGACTTGTTCAAGGAAGGCACAGGAGAAAAAAAAAAAGGTATATAGATCAGAAGAGACATGCTAATGTTTGAAGTTTAAAACAGAAAATAAAGTCACAGCCAAGAAAACAAGTTCAGGTCTCTAGTCCCAAACTAGAAAATTTCAAATACTTTTATTAAGTCATTATAAAAACGTGTGAAGTGACATGAGAAATGACCTTCTCTCCCAACTCTCTTCTCCCCAGTGAATGAACTGAAATGAAAGATACCCTTTTTTACTAGTAACAATAAAGGCCTTTAATGCCAAGAAATGGTTAAAAAATGTATTAACTGCACTGGGGGCTCCAATTAAGAAGCCCTTGATTTCTCTATCAAATGCTCTGAATGCAAGTAACAAAATGGACCCCTCTCTCCTTGAACAAAAGCCTCATATTTTAAAATGACAAAAGCTAATCTAGAAAAGACAGAAATGGTGCTCACGTTGACAGCACATATAGCAAAGAAAGAACTGAAGAACTCAAAAGCCAGCTCAATACCTTTATTACAATACTGGAAAGCTTATTTCATAGAACAATTATAAGCGCTAATGGAGAACAAGAATTTGTTCAGAAAGGAGAACAGACTAATAGTCTCTCACACAAGTGAAAAAAAATCAATTTGTCTAATAGAAATCAGCATAGAATTTGACTATAAAGGATGAGCAGGTGCAAAGTTAAGTTCCCGCTTTTAAGACCCCTACTTTATTTAACAACTGTCTTGCAAGCGGAGATACTTCACTAGTCTGTCCATCGGAAGGAAAGATCCTGCCCTGGAAGGAAGAAACTACAACAGAGTTTTAATATTTGTAAAATCCTATGTGTTCAGTTAGCCTCCAACTCTAACTGGGTATGCAGATATATTTTGTGAGCAATCTTAGACCAGGAATAATAGAAACACTGGAATGCAAAATGTCCTTGTCTGTATTCCTACCTAGTTGTACTAACATCTGAACACCTCCAACTTCATCCCTATCAGGGTTATTCTCTTAAAGAAGCCAAACACTGCTGCAGTTATGGTGGCCACTTAGCTGGTTGGGAAAATATGCAAAGAATTTAATTTATTTTTAACAAGACCTAAAATGATTAGCCAAATCCAAAGTATAGCATTTATTTTAAACTGTAATACATGGGTAAATTATAAAACTAGTAGGGAAGGGGAAAAGGTTGGAGAAGCTGTACAAGGATATTTCAAATTTTATTCTGAGGGCTGACAAGTTACAGGTGTCAACATAATAGAATCCTACAAAAAAACCTGCTCTGGACACCAATGGCTCAAAAGAACTGAAAGCATAAATAAAAGCCAAAAATTAGCTGAAAAAATGCTCAGGGAATCAATCAAATCTTACTGACTGGATCTTAGCCATACATGAATACACAATCTACAAGAAACACATCAGGTTAAAAAAAAAAACAAACTGCCTTCCAACAAGGTATCTTAATCAACATCTCCCAATTTTGAGAACAGTAATAATCTCAGAAGAACTTACTGAATGAGGTAAAAGAAATAACCATCCTACTCACTTACTTTAAAAACTAGATGCAGTATGTAAATTTAAAACAGCAAAAGACTACATTTAGATGTGGTATGCACTAACCCTCTACAAGCCTTTTAAAATAGAGCCCTAAATGGAACTCTATTTTAGTAAATCGAAAGTTGGGAGTTCACAATTTTTCAAAAGCAAAGTTCATGTGTATGATGCTAGCTAAGACTCACTGACTCAATTTCAGAAGTCATGTCGTTACTACCAGATTTTATTTTTCTCACCTTGGCAAAAGCACTTTCTTGGCTCTGCTGCCCTCAGCGTTTACCAAGCCCTGCTGATCAATTCAGTCTTCCCTGTCGTGCCTGTCTCAGCATCAAAGGCCCATCATCCCCTTACCTCCCAGACCCACTTAAGACTCAAAGATGATGTGGCCAAGGGAGAAAACAAAATGCGAGAGATGGCCCACTAACATCAACATTTTTAGCTCAAGTCTACAGCTTAGGCCATATAATCAGATCCCAACTTCTTTCGCTTAGGGGACTAACATTATTTTTCCTTTTGGACCCCAAGGGCTCGAGTAGATACACCTATTAACATCATTTTTACCTCAGATACGTGCTTGCCCTTTAAGTAACTCCAAGCAAAACTAACATCATTCATGTTGTTACTGGTTTGTGGCCAAGGTTTTACAAAGCAACAACTGGGGCAAAGCAAATGCAAAAACTATCTCATAAATAGGAGTAATTTTGTTCTCTTTGCAAAACAAAAAAGCACAAGTTTCACACTGTGGCCATAAAAAACATGGATCCTTCAAAAAGCCCAAGTCACTTTTTTCATTGAGTTTAAGACTTGACAACTGTCTCGAAAGTTTTTAAAGGCTTCTTCACTTTAAGTAGAAGTGTGTAAGATAATACCCATGGCATTCTCAACTGGAGCAGAAGGCAATTTTTCTGGGGCCTGATATTGGGTACTACTTTGCATGTGTATGTCCCATTTTAATTGAGGGTAATACTACACCCATCAGCTATTATTCTATATAGCTAAAGTGAAACAGGAAAAGCCAACTTTGGAGACTAATTTTCACAGCAAGCAGGATTAATGAACCAGAATAAAGCTGTTTCATTATCTTTGCATCTTTAACATCGTTATGATAGCTAAACACTGTTAAGAGAAAAGGGAATAAAGCACCTGCTACTATACTACTGCACCTTGAATTAGTTATCCTGTTCACTTGTAGGACTTCACTTCTAAAGGAAACATTTCAGCAGAAAAACAGTCATTCATCTGGAACAAGCATTAAACAGAATTTGTTTGGCACATAAGCATCTAAACATTAGAGGGCCTATACCTAAATACTCACAGCTTTCTACTACAACTATCTAGGAAACAAACTAATGCTTTTAATGCCAAAGGAAACTAACTCAGTGCTTTGCTTGGATTTTGGGGGTTTGGGTACGTAACCATCCTTTAACATTCTTGTGGAAAAACTGTGACAGAAAACACTCTAACTATACATTGTTCAGCGAAGGAAAAAGGTCAATGCATTTTAAGAGTCCAAGGGCAGTGGCATAGAGACCATCAGTTCCAATTTTGGAGGTACTCACTCATGCCCCAGAATCACCAAAGTTAGATGAAAGACACAGGGGACAACAGGAGGCCAACTGTTACCCATGGTGGAGAGCTCACTATGCTTGTTATTTGACTACAAAGGGTTATTTTTAAAGCTTTGCATTTCAATCATTGGACTAAGCAGTTAAAATTAGAATTACCTAATTTAAACGTTTCCCTCGGAAGGCACTTCTTTACCCTGTATATATTTTCTTCTATTAAACAAATAATGCATGCATGTTTAGCAAAATATACAGGGACACATAAACAGACTAGTAATTACTTAGCGTAGTGCTTTCTGATTCCAGATTACTTCTTATCTTAACTTCATTTTTATTTCTTTTCTTCATTCTTCCGTTTCAAATTCTGACTTCTTTCATCTTCCCCACTTCACACAAATTGC